ATGAATACAGGTAAAACGAAATATATTAGTTAATATTTGAAAATTAATAATACTTAGCAGATTATTAATACTTAGCTAATATTTTTAAAAAAAATTAACACAGAAAACAATTATGCTTGGTTTTTACTCTCCCTAAAATTTGTAATACTAACAATAAGTATTTTCAAAAATTCAAATGTCAAACAACAGGTTAAGAAATAACTAAAAAGTTTTCTTTAATCTAGAATTTTTTAGTACAATTTTTAAACAAAATATTTAAAACAACGTGATTTTTTTTTAAAACTTTTAATGTTTATTTTTAAAAAAAAATTTCTTAAAATATTACATAATTTTTGAAAAACAAATTTTCGAGTATATTTCGATGTCATAATTATAAGACTAGAAATATAAATAATTTTTTCTTGGAATATTAGGAACAGGAAAATTAAGGAAATAAATAATAAAAAAAGGTTTCTTAATTATGCATCTAAATTTATCAGCAACTTTAAAACAATTATTTCAAAAACAATTTTATTAAAAAAGTTTTCTTTCGTTATATTCCAGTCTTTTTATTACGCTCTTATATGGAATCCAACTCAGAAGACAAGGGTGCCAAGTCGTGAGAACTTTGTTAGAACTTTTGGGAGTTAGAACTTTTAGTTATACATTTCCATTGTACAGCAATGGAAAATGGTCTAGCCATAAGGATTATTCGTGATTTTATTTTATTACAAATTCGTGTTAGTAGTTTAGCTCGATGCAAATATCAGCTAGTTTTCATTGCACACATTTTTAATAACAAAATTCTGTCAATTGTTTTTCTGATTGACGCAGGATATTTTTTTCTTATGATTTACCATTCTGTATATAAATGAATTATGCTAAAGCAATTCAAAAGAAATTCTCTATTTTTACACGTCGCATAAATTCGAAAAAAACTTTTTGAAGTAGAATTAATCGCATACATTAAGATAATTTAAAGTATTATTTCAATAAAAACATAATAATGCTAGTTTAATAATAACAAATAAATATAAATGAATATCTTTAGAATAACTTAGCTGATACCTAATGGAGAATCTCAAAACAGAAAAGAAAATAATGCTTAAGTTTTTTTTTCCACCCTAAAATTTGTTATTTACCATTTTACTTGTATTAAAGGAGTAATTATTTTAAAAAGATCAAATGTCAAACGGAAGATTAAGAAATAACTCTAAAACGCTTTTCTTATTCAATTGCTTTTTTAATGCTATTTCTAACAAAAAAAAATTTAAAAAAGGTGATTTTAGAATTTTTTTAATCTTAATCTTAACAAATTTTATTTCTGAAAATAATACATAATTTTTCAGAAAATAAATTGTCGAATATATTTTGGCATTATAGATATAAGAGTAAAAATATCTTTTTGTCTTAGAAAATAAAAGATGAAATTTTCGCATTTTAAAGTATGAACAGAAAAATAATAAAAATGTTTCTTAATTATGCAATTAAATTTAACTGCAACTTAATAATAATTCAAAGACGATTATATCGAAAAAATTTCCGCTCTTCATTTTCCATGCTTTTTATTACCCGCTTGTATTCTACCCAACTCAAAAGACAAGTGAAAATAAATGAAATTATGCTTCTTAATTATGTATCTAAACTAATCAACTACTTTATAAAAATTACAAAACCGATCATATTCTAAAAGCTTCAGTTCTTTCAAATCTCTGATAGAAAATTGCATAGCGGATTAAAAATAAGTATACAATTTATAGTAATTCTTATTTATATTATATACGATTTAGTTATAGCAATCTTTTTTATTTATTATGCACTAATCTCAGTCATAACTCACCGATTTTTGAAAGAAAAAAATTCCATTTTTTTCTGTAAATATTTTGAAAATATTACGAGGCAATTAAAATAAGAGTTAATAAAAACACGGCAATAATTATACTAAATGGCTGAGAATACACAAAAATTTGGAACATAAAAAATTTTCACGTTTTATTTAAAGTCGTTATTATAGATTTTATAAGTTCTGCAAGAAATTAATTACACTAAACGTATTATGGCTAAGAATACACAAAAATTTGGAGCAAAATTTTTTTTTTCGCGTTTTATTTAAAGTTGTGCAAGATTATTATAAATTTTATTATAAGTTCTGCTAGAAACCAAAACTAATTATTTAATCCATTTATAATATGAAATAATAAATTTGTGAGAGAAAAAATTATGTCTGAAATATATTCATAAAATATCCAGGTAAATGATTATAAAATATCTGGGTAAAAATTATCTTTGAAATCTGAAATCTAATTTAATCCCAGCGTTAAACGCATCCTTATTCGAACGTTCGAATCGCTTTCACCAGCAAATTGTTAGGTGAAAGTTTTCCGATAGATGGGAGGAAAAATGAAGATCGCAGTTCGTTAGCAAAATCCGTTCGAAAGCGCGAGGTTTCAGGTTTTCCCTAGGAGTAGAAACGTGACGTCAAAATGATGTCATTTTTCTCTTCCTTGCTCGTTCGAAGGCTGCGAGGTTTGAGCTCCTGGGTGATCGTGTAAAGCTAAGGGTGGTGGCGCTAGTGGTTAAATTGCTCTCTCAAGACTTCCGGGTTACTGCTTCCGATATACTTTTACGCCGCAGATTGAAAAAACGCGCCATCATATCTTTTGCAGTATTTCACATGTACCGAATTCTTTCTTTTAACCTTTACACTCTAGCATTATCATATTAATATTATAATCATTAGAATATTTTCTAATAAGGCTAACTGAATAAGATATTTTTGGCGACATTTTATTCAAATGCAGCCAAATAAGGGATAAAATAGAAAATATGGCAAAACCTTAAGAATTATTCACAATGAGATATTTACTTTCCAAAAATTTTTTTGGCCTTACGACCTCTGAGAATTAATACATTTCTGAAAGCTCTTATGAATGGTACAATTATGTTTAGATTTGAACCCAAATTACAATAACAAAACTGCATAGAATATTAGGCTTGTTCACACATCGCCTCGTAGTCATAACATAAGCGGAGGGATACACCGGAAATTTTCTAAATTTCTTCCGGTTTAAGGACGTTTGTTATTGTTTACATTAGACCACCCATCCATAAGCCGCTTCGGACTTTACTACAACAACCTGTAGCTATCTGTAAAGCCTCCACCCTAAACTATATAAATAGAAATAGAAAGCTATAAGCTAAGGCAAAGAGCTCATCGCAGACTTTTACAATCTGATACATACCAACCAATTAAAACAATACAATCTTGCTTATAAACTGATTTTTGTTTTGTATTTTACTTGATTTGGATATTATACTTAAAAAAAAATTATGGAATGATAAATTAACATTTTCTTTGTGCTGACAGTAAATAAAATTCCTGTTGTGTGTGTCCCAAAAATTAAAAAAAAAAACATGTTTTCTGTTCGATTCATGTAATTAATAAACTATTCATGCCCTGTGTGTTAATTGCTTCCTGGCAGAAGGAGATATTATTATTGAAAGCAATATCTTTCTGTGTTGACAATAACATTCTTTGTTGTAACACTAAAGGTAAAAAGTATTGGGGCTAAGTGTGACACATACTTGCAATGATATTTTAAGAGAAAAATATTTTCATTGAAATTTTATGTTTGCACTATGCTTGAAAGTTTCTAGGTGAAGTTAATGATTGTTGTAATTAAGAAGTATGCAATAAGAAGTAATTTCATTTAAATGTTTTGTGTTTGTTATATCCGAACCTGATAGATTAATCATGAAGAATGGAATTTGCAATAATCTAAACAACACCTTGGACAAACTTTTCCATGCAGTGCATTATTAAACAGTTGTAAATAGATTTTAATTGCAGGTAATTAAACTCTCTCTTACATTCATAAAGCATATGTTATTTGATACTTATATACAAGTAATATAGATTATGATTTTCTTGTTGACACTGAGAAAGTATTTTTTATTTGCAGTTTGTGCAATTTAAAATTGTTAGATAAAATTAAATTGTCTTGACTCTCTCATATTCATGTTGATTTATAAGAGCATGTATTTATAGTGTATGATGAAACATTGATACAAAAATTAGCAATAAAAATTTTTTTTTTTAAATATATATGTTTCTAATGTAAAATGTTTCAAATCAGCGAAAGTAAAAAATATATATCTATATTGTCTGACTTAAAAATATATATTGTTTCATATATTTGTATCATATTTACCCAGATATTGTAATATATATTGTACTATAGTTACCCATGTGCATGTGAAGTAAATTGTAAATGAAATCTAATTTGATAATTTCAGGTTTACTGTTAACAGCATTAGGTTAATGCTGTAAACAGCATTACTGTTTATTTTTGTAAGAAGTTTTCCAAATTAAAAATAGCATTCATTTCGCAGTGTGTCTAAGAATGCATTGATTCATAGTGTATTAAATTTAGAGAAGTTTTCTACATTAAGAGGTTCATTGTTTCTGCAGTTTTTTGTGTAAAATTGAAATATTATTAAAGTTTGTGGAGATTTTTTTTTTTTTGCATCTCAATATAATTTAAATTGATCCTTTCACTGACGCACCTATTAATAAATCATATTCTTGTTATGAATTGATCATATTTCTACAGTATTTTTTTGTTGTTGCTTATTTAAAAAATTTATTCAAAGTAAGTGATTTGATTCAACATGATCATTTTGAATTATGTGTTATTGAAGTCCTCTTTGTGCTATTAAATAGTGAAAATTATTTTAAATTCTTGCCTTCATTTTAATCAATAGCTAATTGTTTTTCCAATTTCTACTTACAGCTAGTTGTTGCAAATAAAAGAGAAAAAGCAAAAATTTTATTTTGAATGGGAAATTATATTTTTTCTTATTTTTATGCATTTTTATTATAATGTCATTGCAAAGTGGATATAGTATGTCTTCATTTCTTGCAGCATATTTATGATTGTTATTTTAGAGATCTTATTCAACTACACACANTAATGTAAAATGTTTCAAATCAGCGAAAGTAAAAAATATATATCTATATTGTCTGACTTAAAAATATATATTGTTTCATATATTTGTATCATATTTACCCAGATATTGTAATATATATTGTACTATAGTTACCCATGTGCGTGTGAAATAAATTGTAAATGAAATCTAATTTGATAACTTCAGGTTCAAAATAGTAAGCAGCATTACTGTTTATTTTTGTAAGAAGTTTTCCAAATTAAAAATAACATTCATTTTGCAGTGTGTCTAAGAATGCATTCATTCATAGTGTATTAAATTTAAAGAATTTTCTTCAAAAGGAGGTTCATTATTTCTGCAGTTCTTTGTGTAAAATAGAAATATTATTAAAGTTTGTGGAAAAAAATTTTTGCATCTCAATATAATTTAAATTGATCCTTTCACTGATGCAGCAATTAATAAATCATATTCTTGTTATAAAGTGATCATATTTCTACAGTATTTTATTTTGCTTATTTAGAAAATTTAGTCAAAGTAAGTGATTTGATTCAACATGATCATTTTGAATTATGTGTTATTGAAGTCCTCTTTGTGCTATTAAATAGTGAAAATTATTTTAAATTATTGCCTTCATTTTAATCAATAGCTAATTGTTTTTCCAATTTCTACTTACAGCTATTTGTTGCAAATAAAAGAGAAAAAGCAAAAATTTTATTTTGAGTAGGAAATTATATTTTTTCTTATTTTTATGCATTTCTATTATAATGTCATTGCTAAGTGGATATAGTATGTCTTAATTTCTTGCAGCATATTTATGATTGTTATTCTAGAGATCTTATTCAACTACACACAATTTATCTACACTTATAATTAAGTTTTTTCTCAGAAAAGTAATCCTATACTGTAAAAGTTTTTTTGATCCTGCAAGATAACCTTATTCTTGTAATATATGTAACTAGATTTATTTCTAAGAGAAATAGTTTCACTAAACACTGCAAATTTCATACTGGTGAGAAATCCTATTCTTGTAGTATAAAAAGAGTATAATAAGAGTTTTTTCACAAAGAGATCTCACTAAACATAATCGCGTTAATATGGGTGAGAAGCCTTATTCTTGTAGTATATGTAGTAAGAGTTTTTCACGTAGAAATGTACTAACTGAACACAGTCGTGTTCATACAGGTGAGAAGCCTTATTCTTGTAGTATATGTAATAAGAGTTTTTCACGTAGAAATCTACTAACTCAACACAGTCGTGTTCATACAGGTGAGAAGCCTTATTCTTGTAGTATATGTTATAAGAGATTTTCAAAAAAAGGTAATTTGATTCAACATAGTCATGTTCATACTGGTGAGAAGCCTTATTCTTGTAGTATATGTTATAAGAGATTTTCAAGAAGAGGTCGTTTGACTCTACACAGTAGTGTTCATACTGGTGCTGAAAAAGATAGTCTATTTAGGCACATTCCAGTACATACTGGTGAAAAACCTTATTCTTGTAGTAAATGTAATAAGGGGTTTTCAAGTAGAGCTTATTTGACGTTACATAGTCGTGTTCATACAGGTGAGGAGCTTTATTCATGTACTGTATGTAATAAGAGATTTCCAACTGGTTCTAGTTTGACTAAACATAGTCGTGTTCATACTGGTGAGAAACCTTATTCTTGTAGTATATGTAATAAGAGTTTTTCTCATAGAGAGAGTCTATTAAAACACATTCGAGTTCATACAGGTGAGAAACCTTATTCTTGTAGTATGTGTAATAAGAGTTTTACACAAAGAATTCATCTGACTCGTCATAGTCGTCTTCATACTGGTGAGAAACCTTATTCTTGTGGAATATGTAATAAGACTTTTTCGCAGAAACATCATTTGAGTAAACACAGTCATGTTCATACTGGGGAATAAACCTTATTCTTATAATATATGTTATGAGAGTATTTCACAAATAGTTCTTCAAAATATGACATTTGTGTTCTTACTGGTGAAAAGCATTTTTCATGCACTAAATGTAATAAGACTTTTTCAAGAAAGGATTACTTAACTCGTCACATTCAAGTTCACACTGTTTAGAAACCATTTTCTTGTAGACAAAAAAAAATTATTTTTTTTACTTGAAAAGCATCCAACTTATTATAATTTTATTCATGCTGGTTAAAAACTGCATTATTTTGATATATTTCAAAAGAGTTTTTTTTTCCTTTAAAAGACTGACTTTGATGTTTATATTTGGACTGGGGAGAAACTTTTTTGTTGTACCATAACTAAATAAGAATTTTTCTCAGAAATGTCATCTGGCTAAATACAGTGTTGTTCCTACTAGCGACAAAGCATATCTTTGAAGTATGTGATGAAGTAGGTTTTTTTTAAATAATAGTGATCTGAATATTTACACTCATGTTGATACTGGTTGAGAAACCATATTCTCGTAGAATCTGTAATAAGTCTTTCTTAACGAAAGCTAATCAAACTAATCATTGTTTTGTTGACCCAGCTGAAAAACCTAATTCTTGTTGCACGTGTCAAAGGAATCTTTCAAATGGCATTCTGATTCATACTGGTGCATTCATTTTTGCGGCATATGTAAAAAGTGACTGACTGAACATTGGCCATTTCTCACTGAGGAAAAACTCTCTTGCTTCTATTATTGGTAAAAAATTTCATGGAAATATCATTAGATTTAACACAATTTAATGAAACTGAAATGTTTTTTTCTTTTCAAAATATTTTATAATGGAGTTTTCATTGTATTTTTCTGATTTTGTACTTATGTAATGCCTGTAAAATAAGCTTCAGTATTGAAAAGCTGTGGATTAAAATTAAAATGCATTCTTGTAAGCACATCTTGGTAGAAGTTGTTGCCTTGGTTACTGGTTATAAGTTGTTTTTTATTCTCTCAGCATTAGAATCCTGAGTTGTTGGCAGGGCCGTAACTACGCCGGGGCACCGCCCTGGGGCCTCGACGGTCAAGGGGGCCCCACACATCATGACATCAGAGACCACATCATGTTTTTTTTTTTCAAAATAGAGCACTCTAATTATATGTAGGAAAGAAATTGTGTTAAGATAGAGTTGATGAAAATTTTCTTTTTTGTAATTGCGTACCTACTATAACATAAAGGGAAGTGTAAGAAACTGTAAAACACCTTTTCGAAAATTATTTCCCTTTCTCAAAAGAACAAACCCGCTTTGCAGAGAAGGGGAAAGGCCACAGCTGCATGTAGTTGATTGCGTCTGACTCAGTGGCGTGCCAACCAAAGGGAGGCAGAGGGCCCCTCTGAAATTTAAGTGATTGGGCAAACGATGCGTTTCACCCCTCCTGAAATTTAGACACAAAAATAAAGTCAAGTAAAATCAGTGATTTAAAAAAAAAAAAAATTTTAATTTTGAAGCTATTTTTGAAATAGAAAACTTTATATTCCTCTAACATTTATGTGCTTTGCCTCTTCTGATATTTAGTTATTCGCCAAGATGAAGTCTATTAAAATAGGTAATTTTAGAGGGGGAAAAAGCTATTCTTTCTCAGCCTTGAAGATATACATCAAGTAGGAAACTTTATTCTGTTATGGACGATTAATATGTTTTATATGTAAGTAAAGTAAAAGTAGAAAAAATATTTTATTTCCAATTTTCACTCTATTTTCTTCCGAAATTGTAATGAGGGGACGAACATAGTGTTTCGCCCCTTCTGAAATTTCAAAGTGCTCGAAAATAATAAAAATTTATAACTAAAAAAATGTCATCTTTGAATCTATTTTCTGAATAGAAAGCTTTATTTTCTTCTGAAATAAAAGTGAGGGGGTGAAAAATTTGCTTTTCATCTTCTGTAATTTAGACATTAATAGAATAAAATCAAGTAAAGTTGGAAATTTAACAAGAAAAAAATTATTTTGTTTCATAACTTTGACGATATTTTCCAAATAGAGAACTTCATTTTCCTCTTAAATTATAGTAAGGGGATCGAAAACTTATTTTCTTCTGATATAAAGTAAGGGGGGCTAAAAAAAAATTTGTATCTTCTGAAATTTAGACATTTGAAATAATATAGTCCAGAAAAATTGTTTTTTTTTTGTTTAAAAAAAAGAACTTTGAAGCTATTTTCCAAAAAGAAAATTTTATTTTCCTCTTAAATTAAAGTGAGGGGGTAAAGAATATATACTTCACCCCTTCTGAATTTCAGACATTCGCAGGAATAAAGTCGAGTAAAATTTATATTTAACTCTTATTTTCGACTTTAAAGCTATTTTCCAAATCGAAAACTTTATTTTTCTCTGAAATTTAGTTGAGATGGAAGATAATGTGCGCTTCCCCTTCTGAAAATTTGACATTCGCTACAATAAAGTAAAATAGAATTGAGAATTTCAGAAAAGCAAACTACTTTTTTTTTTCCAATTTACTAGCTATTTTCCAAATTGAAGTAGAAATCCCCCCAAGAAAAATACTTCGGTTTTGTTTCAATTTTTTTCTACATATTACAACTTTTAACTAATTAAGAAAATTAAAACTAAAACACGAAAAGAGAAGAGGAGCACATCATAAAAAAACATAACAAGAGTTTAGAAAACTAAAATAAGTATCACTGTTTTGCATCCTCACTGAGACTAATAGATATATTTGAAAGCATCTTTTGACTGTGGGTGGTATGAAGGTGTTAAAGCCTTCATACCACCCACAGAGTTGACCCACAGTTATCTGACTCCTCAAAAGATATCCATCTCCTTTTACACCATGGGAAAATGACCTTTTCCTTCTTTAAATTGCCCTAATCATTTTTATAACCCTGGGCTCTTTTGTGCTTTTATAAAATGTCCTATATTTACAGTACCATCTATATGTCCCTCAAGTTGTCTTAAACTAGCAATTATCTAGATGTTCTAGGAAAACAGATGTAAGCTTTTAAGGTCCATTCAAGGGGATGACTCTTGTCGACATATACTTCGGTCATTTTGTCAAGAGAGAGAGTTTCAGAGACAAACGTAAAACGTTGCAGTTAAATTCCAGTTTTTAACTCATTTGATAGAGTCATTTAAATAAACCATTTTTTATTCAGATATAAATTTTCTGTTACCTTTTATTTTGTTCAATTTTTGAAATTAAAATTTAACTTTAATTAAGAGTTATTAAAATTATTTGCAACTTCCTTTTTTTCAAACATAAATTGTGATATCAATAATTCCCATTCTTAATACAAATTTTCTTTGGAAAACAGGAAAACTCAAAGTAAATGTTTGCATTCATTTAATACATTTAAATTTTATATTTATATACTGTTAGAATTCTTTTATAAGAATGGTAACATAAAAATTGCTTTTTTTTATGTTCGTGTATAAAATTTAATTTGTATAGTACTTTAATTGATAATTTTACTGTTTATTGTGTGCATGGATTTTGTTCTTATTTTATATTTTTTAAATTGTTAAGACCCTTAAATTTTTTAAATTGGAACTTCGAATTTTTCGGGTTTTTAACAACTTTGTTTTTATTAAAAAATGAAATGCATTCTTTATTTTATATAAAAAGAAATAATCTTTAATTTAATAAAAAAACGCATTTAATTTAATAAAAAAGCTATGAACATCAGCTTAGAAATCCGTAGCAATTAAAATTCATTGTCATGACAAACCATTAAAAGGATTTTTTTTTTTTAATTAGCAAATATGCTTAGACTTTTTCTCATTTTTCTTTCATAAAAAAAACAACAACAAAAAGTATTACTCTTTGTCATAATTTTGCCACATATGATTACATGGCGTCATGAATACATAGGCCAAATATTCAAGAACGAATTCTTTTCAAAATATAGCTATATTTTCTAGGGACCTGTCCATGTAGGAGTAAGGCAACTTTGTTTTTGTTAATCGATGTATATAGAGAAAAAATTTCTGTATATTTTTTCAATTAGGACTTTTTAAAATGTGGATATATGTGCCGATAGAAAAAAAAAATCTATAATTTCCTTCAGTTTCCATAACGCGATCAAAAACTTATAGACTTGAAACTAAAAAATAATTTTCATTTTTATAATGTTTTTGTCTTGAAAAGACCACCCTAACGGTATAATAACCGAATTCAACAGGTTTATAAAATTGGTATTTTATGATTAACATTATATGTAGAGGAAACATTAGATTTTCTAACCCCCGTAATATAATAGGTAGCTGTAATCTGGGAAATATGGTCCCAATAGTTGGGTCGGGTCAGCTATCCAAAGTTTGGACCCCCAAATGTTATTTTTTTTTTCTTCTTTTTTTTTGTATTTCACTACAGATTGAGAGCTTTTTAAGGGAATTGAAAAATTTTTGCACACGATTATAAAATTCTTTTATCTAGAGATAATTCCATGCAAAAAATAAATTTTAGTAAATATTTATCATTTTTTATTTCATAATAGTTTGATGTTGATCATTTACGTCGCACTGGTGCTGCACAATAGACTATTAGCGACGGTCTGGGAAACATTCCTTGAGGTTTGATCCTCTGCAGAGGGGGGCACCCTCGCTTCGGTAGCCCGGCGACCAGCACGCGAAGTCGAGCACTTTACGGTAGAACAGTTTAACGAGGACCAATACCGCACACCCTCGGTCCCTACGCAGATTGATTCAAATGGTCACCCACTCGCACACTAAATGCAGCCAGTGATGCTTAACTTTGGTGATCTGCTGACAACCGTGTCTTAACGATCAGTCCACTTCCGGACAATAATAGTCTGAAAACTTTTGAATCGTAAGGCATACATTTTTTTTGTTTTTTTGTATCATTTTAAAGTATCTAATTCCACATGGAAAATACAAAATTTGAGCGTAATTGGTTGATTAGTTCTTTAGAAACCGTGTTTTATAAGTACGACTTTTTTAAAATTTAATTTCTCAAGATTAATTGATTTCGCTAAAACTTTGTATTTTGCAATGTGGAATACTTTCAATGTTTTGTAATCCAATTTATATGCGAACAAATAACTTGTTTTCATAAATATATTCGCTAACATAATACATAAATAGCTAAAATGACTGTCAGAGATGGAGTACTGAATTTTTTTGAAAGGGCCTCCGCCAAAAATTTTTGCCCCAGGGCCCCGAGGGGTGAAGTTACGGCACTGGTTGCTGGTAATATTTTTTAATAATAAAAAAAAACTTGAATAGCTCCTTTAATTAAAATTAAATGTAACATCTTTTGTTTAATGAATGTTTTGAAGTAAATTCAGTTTAATTGCAAGTATGAAACATAAAAAATAATATTTGCTTCTTAAACTCAATTTCTTGTACTTAAATCAAAACAACTTTCTCTAAGCTTTCATCATTTTATAAATCTTATTTTTATGTTTCAGAAATATTACTGTGCTGAATGTTGTGACAGTTTTTTAAACGATTACCTAATGTAAATTTTGTTAATCACATTTGAACGTGTTAAATTGTATAACTTTTGAAAAAGAACATAAAAGAAATAAATTCATGAAATAATTTTCTCATTATGAGATGTATGCAAACGAAGACTGTTTTTTTTTTTTCGATTAAAGAGGAATAGGGGCTACATCACTATCCATCCTCGGAAGT